GTATAATGGACACTAAATACGCGAGACTATGTAAAATATGAGTTATGGAAACCTTTATTTTTATTTTTTTTTAAAAATACAATAATATCATAGAGCATCACTGCACATATGCAATTATGCATGGATCGATATGAACAGCTGTGTTCACTTGCCATCGTTTGCAAATCACTCGAATGTTGTATTTGTGTTTTTTGTTTGGTTTTTTTTTGTTTGTTAAAAACATCTCATTCCGTTCTATGTGACGTATGTCACCTGATGCAAAAATAGAAGGGGCTTATCATTTTATCCAAACGATGGGAATAGATTAAGTTATTACGTATGTATATACATACTATATTTTTCATATACATTGATGAGGTGAATTGGTACTTTTAAAATATAGAGGCCAACATCCTTTATTGACCCATCCAACATCCAGTTTCAACTTATCGATTGCATGGTATATATCCTGTTCCACTGTGCGCGTATAGAGGTAGTGGCAAAAAGTGAGATACTTATGTACCGACAAATAAAACTGTATATCTTATCTAACAACTAGCGAAAACAAGAGGAGATAAGCAACTTGATGATATTGCATGTCGTCATAGTGAACGTGCACTGTACACTGTACACTCATAAATGGCGCGTAAACAATCAGAAGTATTCTTCATGAATCGGTGAAATTACACTCAAACTTCATACATCTTCAGTATAAGTATATACATAACATTCTATTACTTCAACAATGGCCGACATTCGACACCGACATGCCGGGGGTGCCACTAACCTCGACGGAAGAATTGGAACTGATGACAACGATGGGAAAGGACGTAAGAAACTAATTCATAATCGACTGACGGCTAGTAGAACCTCGTTCACTGGGTCATTGGTTGCGACGGTATGTCTTTGATATTGGTGTTACTCGCGGCTTTGTTGGTCCTGTACTATAAAGTTATTATTAACTGTGTGCTCGCCTTTGTGTGCTTTGAGTATTTGACACACTTTTTTTTGTATTGGGCCTGCTCATGCAACCATTTGTTCACTTTTTACTCGCTTGCTTGATGGTATGACTTTAACCTCAATATAGAGGCCAATACAGACCTTTCAATTATACAATATATTGTACGTATATATCTTGTACTGAATACATATTG